GGGATAAAAAGACGATTCAACCGGGTGCGTTTAAACCACTGGAAAGGGAGTTGGTGTTTGATATTGATATGACGGATTATGATGAGATTCGGACGTGTTGTAGGTGGGTTTATCTCTTTGGATTGTTTTATGTGTTTGGTTTTGTATGTTCAATTTTGAATATCCGTTTATAGTGGTGGGGATGTGTGTAGGGTGTGTTGGGATTTCATGACGGTTGCGATTAAAGTTGTGCATAAGACATTGACGGGTACGTTTTTTGCAACATGTTTGAGGTTGTGGTTTAACTCTCTATAATCTGATGTTATATTGTTGTAGATGATTTTGGGTTTAAGAACTTGTTGTGGGTGTACAGTGGACGACGGGGTGTACATTGTTGGGTATGTGATGAACGGGCCCGAAAAATGCCATCAGAGGGACGACGAGCTATTGTGAGTTTTCTGGAAGTGATCAAGGTGTGTGTGCTGTTGTGCATTGCTTTGTTTTTGAGGTATTTTTTGGTGTTTATTGGATTCGTTTGATAACATTTGTAGGGAGGTGAAAACGCTGGACGTAAAACCAATTTACCCAAATCCTTGCATCCTTCTTTACGGTCCGTTCCCCATCTCGCTGTGTTCGTTTGGAATACATGCCTTTAACGTTATTTCACTTTTAGACGCGCGTACGAGGTCCTTGTCCCCCATTTCCGCAAAACCGTCGTAGAAGGCATGCAAGTCCTCTCGGTACGCGACCATTGGACCAAACTCCTTGCCCTTGTTCCTGATGAAGGTACGATACACTTCCAATTCAAACCTTGTAAAAAAATATTCATTTGTATGATATTTTTAGATGTACGAAAGCGGTTGGATCAGCAGTGGAGTACCCGTGAACGATCCAATGAATCGAGATGGGAAGATTTGGTATCTGAATTGAATTCCAAAAAGGTATGTGGTGCTTTTTTTGAAGGTTGTCATAGTGGTTTATTTATCAACCTTTGTAGAAATCGTTGTATAATGTGGAACGTGATATTATTTTCCAATACACGTATCCGCGTTTGGACTCGAATGTATCGATTGGGTTGAACCATTTGTTGAAAGCTCCTTTTTGTGTGCATCCTAAAACGGGTAAGAAAATACCTACAGGTTCTTGTACCTTTTGTATTTACAACTTTTTTTTTTAATTGTAGGTAAAGTGTGTGTCCCAATGGACCCGGACCGATGTGAAGAGTTTGATCCAATGGATGTACCTACTTTGGAAAGTGTACTCAATGATGAAGGGACTAGTAAACGGATTGGTGTTGAGAGGTTTTGTAAAGTCTTTTTGAGGGGGGTTGGTGAGGAGGTTCGGAGGGGGTTGAAGGAGAGGAATATATTAGAGTTTTGAAATGAATATGCGGGAATTTAATTATGTGAATGTTGTTTTTATGGGTTTTTATGTGGCAGATTACACACTTTCAAATGTGAGAAGACGAACGACCACCAACTACCAACTTGTTTCCTAGTTCTACTCGACCAGTACATCCACTCGACAACATGGTCAAAGTACCACTCTCTAAATCATGGTCGCTCGAGCATCCGGAGCGTCTCAATTATATTATTGCAAATGATGACAGCTACTCACAGGAGACGTATCCTCACGTAGCAGGCCTCACTCTTACGCGCCTTCGAAGCAATATTCAAAGGACCATTATGAATCGGTTGCGTGCCAACAATGTTGACACTTCACAAATGTCCGCGGCATCCTTTGGATTTTTGACAGCTGGGGTGACAGAAACGGCAGAGACTCTGGACACCATTATGGAGCTTCTCAACAACCATATGGAAGTTACCGATGAGGATATGATTGAAGCGCTGCAGCTGCGGGAATCGACTATTGAAGATGTTGGCTCAGCAATGGCGGATATAGATGGATACGGGCGCGAAAGGTTCTATGTATGGAGTTGGCCGATACTCGTTGAAGATTTATACCGCCTGATTGAAGACTGGGAAGAGGACGAATTGAATCCCGAGGAGGTTTATCACTGGTTGAGTCCGTTTCTACTGTTGCCCGAGGAACAACGAGGCAAGACATGTTATATCCGGTATGTTGGCAAGTCTGAATATCCCAGCGTTCCGTACAAGCGGTTTGTCACCGATTCAAAGCAACGAGAGGGTGGACTGCTTTGCCGCTTTACGACGATACTTGAGAGGAAGTTTCCGGATAGCTGTACCGCCGGCCGTACTTTTGAATTTACGAAAGCTACCCTCGAGGCCTTTGCTGCCCCGCGCTTGCGTGATGACCGGGAAAGATTTATTATTGGATTCTTTGGAAGCGACAGTCTGCTCAATCAACAACTGGGAGGCTATTATGGCACGTACACGCCCAGTAGCGAGGACCATACCCTGTTCACGTCACTTGAGACGTGAACCGATTCATAATGGTAGTTTGAATATTGCTTCGAAGGCGCGTAAGAGTGAGGCCTGCTACGTGAGGATACGTCTCCTGTGAGTAGCTGTCATCATTTGCAATAATATAATTGAGACGCTCTGGATGCTCGAGCGACCACGATTTAGTCAGTGGTACTTTGACCATGACTGTCGAGTGGATGGAGTGGTCGGGGGGTTATAGGAAACAAGTTGGTAGTTGGTGGTCGTTCGTCTTCTCACGTTTGCGTAATCTGATGTGCGTGAGACTCGGCGCACACATGCTGCCGATAGGGTGGCTTACTTTTGAAGCCCTTGATTCGTTCTATCGATCCGGCGAGTCACAGAGTCGCACGTTGTCGTGATTCAGGAGGTCCCTACAAGAATTTTAAGTAAAGTTATTACCGGCACCTAGTGTAGCAACTTCTTGGGTTCCAGGATTCGCCTTGCGCCTTGCAACACCTGGTTACTATAACAGTGCGTTTGTAGGACCCGATTTTTCAGAGCTGTTGTATATTGGTTACTATAATCTCGATTGGATACTTGTCAGGTTACTCCCGGGTACAAAATCGGATACAGATTATTCTACCTTAATCCTCGCCTTTTTATGCTCCATCGCTTCCCCTCCTTTTCCATGGCTCCCGATTCCCCGCCATAATGTATCACTAAATAAAACATTACTCAGCCGCCGCTTGCCGTCCTTCATTTTTTGTCTCTTTCATCTCGTCAAACAATCGGTGAGTTTCTTCCGATGCTCCTGCTCCTTGATCTCGTTCGAACTGTCAAGTTTCGCCGACGCGCGCGCCCAGCTGATTACCTCACACTCAGATAATCGCTGCTCCAGTCACGTGCGTTTGCCTGCGCTCTGAGTCACGCGTTCAATGTCCTAGTCCAGTGACCATATCTCTAATCTTACAATACAATAGAATACTCGATGTGACCTGAAAAACACATGACCGCGCACGTGACCGTGATGCGTGTTAAGAGTCGGCACCAGTTTCTTACTTTCTTTTAACAATGCATTCAACAAAAACAAAGACTAACTTGAATTATATAAGATATACTTACCTGAGTGGGTGAGAGATGTGCCACGACAAGCAAGTTATGCACAGTAATGCAATCATGCATTTATGTACTCGGCATGCGTGAAGGACTGAATTATATGTAATATAATTTACGATATGGTGCACCCAAAGATGTTCTACGGGATAAATGCATAATATAAATATAGAGAAGCGCTTCCATATGACATAAGTATCACTACGATATATTTTCTGTATTTTATGGCCTTCTGTCAAGTGCGTTGCGCGCACGCCTTTCCACTAGTCCGTGTATGTACAGTAATTGATGCGCGAGTCACGTGGACGCATCTCTTCACATATCGCTTTACCCGCAGTGTCTTGCACTTGTAGCTTCCTTCGAATCAACCTCATACATTGTATCTTCCTAATGACATTTCCTGAGCTTGCGCGCTCAGCGCACGACAACGTACGCTATCTTCAGGACTCGAAATTCATTAAGGAGAAACGGACACATCTGTCAAACACCTGCCCTCTTGGCTACAATCTTCCCACCCCCAACCAAGGGCCATGATGCCTTTCATCATCCACCAAGGCAAGTGATGCTGGATGCATTCACTTTCCCTATCCGCGAGAATGATGCAATTTGGTTACTATACAAGTGGCTGGAGCACGACTATCCAACCGGTGGTACATTCAATACAACAAAACCAGAGCAGTTGCCTGATCTTGCACAGGACGCATTGCTTGTGCGGTTCCCTGCATTCTTGAGGCCTTATTCAAGATTCCCTTATTATCGTTTGTGGATGTCATGGTTGGAGAACTTTGGAAGGTTCGGAAAAAACATTTATGTAAACCTCAGATTCCTCAGAGATTGTGCCGAAAAGTCTGCCAAAAAGTACGACCAGAGTCGGGTACAGCAACGTTACAGAATCTTCACATTTGGGCCCCCCAAGTAGTATAGTATACGAGCGCTTTGGCTTTTGTTAAGGGTTGATCTTTGCGTGGCGTTCTTGGGCCATCGCCTGATCAGAAAGAATCAGTCAAATCAGTTGCAGTGATGCAGTAGTCTTTAGCATAGGAATTTAGCCAAGAATCCTGTATATAAAGAATGTATTCAACAGAGCAAACCAATTTCCATACGTTATCACAATACCATTCTCCCACAGCGCGTGGTCGTCTCCGTGGTCGTCTGCGTGGTTTGCCAGCGTGATTGTCTGCGGAAGACTGACAGAGCTGTATGGGCAGCCACCTTATGGCCCGGCTATGGCCGGCCGTAGGGTTAGGATCTAGCTGGCGATGAGAATTCCAGCTGGTTTTAAATTGGCTGCGAAATGCATATTTCAGCCAAGTCCCAATCGATTATAAGACTCAGGTCCGGACCTACGGGTTGCCACCAAGTATAACTCTTATACATCTGTACATCATCAAGAGCTGGCGGCCCCCATAGCACAGTGGTAGTGCGTCAGTCTTGTAAACTGAAGGTCCCAGGTTCGAACCCTGGTGCGGGCATCAATAATTGGTAGTTGTTTCATTTTGTTTCATTTTCATCCCTGAATCCCCCCCTTCATTCTCTCATCCTCCTCCCCCTACAACTCCTATCGACCTAATCACCGGACAAGCTGAGCACTGGTTGGATTCCAACTATACTTGCATAGGAAATAAATAATAATAAACTGCATTTTCTGGTTTTATCAGGTCTTCTGTCAAGTGTGTTGCATGTATGCGTTCACACTAGTTAACATATATGGCCCGGCCCGTCTTCAATCTGCCCACCCACTTGCTCGTATGTATGCATTCGAATCGCTCGTCTGGTGAATACGTCGATACCAGTAGTACTCCTTCATTCTCTCATCCTCCTTCCCCCACCCTATATCCCCCCACTCAAATCCATAAATCTTAGAGCATCTCCATCATTTTATGGCACACAATTTTGATGTCCGAGGCTTAAATTTCATTCTTACGGGTGGAGCTTAGAGACATTAAAACCTCCCCAGGGACATCATTTCCCTGCGCCACTCCACATATTTGATGTCCAAACGCAAAGAACAAAGCTTGAATTATATAGGTATATTTACCTGAGTGAGTGAGATGTGCTACGACAAGCAAGTGAGGCATAGTAATGCATCTATGTACACGGAATGTGGGAAGACTGGATAGTGTAATTATTTATGGAAGATATGGTGCAATCAAAGACATTTTTTACGGGGGAACTGCATAATGTAGAATATAGAGAACTGCTTCCATAGGATAAAATAGCCATTAGCTGCATCTGCCGCACGCCTTTCTACTAGTAATCCTATAATGTGTATGGGTGGTTGAAACGCGCCGAGTGATAAAAAATTTAACTATAAAGCGGCTTGATCCCCCTACATTCCTTAAAACAGCGGCCCAAACCCTCTAACGCCACATCTATCATTATACCAGAAAGAGAAGAATAAAATGAAACATGATAAAATTTGTGTTCATGGGTGCACTAGTACTAAGTGTTTCATACAACATTCCCATATTCTCTCTCCCCAAAATGTGAGACAAGACAAGAAAGAAAAAGCGGCCAGTGTTCCCTGCTTTCTCTTGGTGTTGGTGTGTGTGTGTGTGTGGGAATATTCATACCTCATTGGCAAGAAGAAGGAAGGCGCTTTTGCACTTGGCCGTGCGTTTATTATAGAACAGTAGGGTTAGAACAAAAAGGACGTTTGTGTGTATTTGAAAAGGTGAGTTTATTCTGTGGTCGTCTTCCTTCTTTCCCACACACACACACGCTCATCTCTTTTCATCTCGTTTAGAGGGGAATTCAGAAATGTCTTACAACCAACCACCTCCACCACGCTATGCTCGCCCACCTCCTTCTTCAGCTGGTTCTTCAGTTTCTTCTTCTTCTTATTCACAACAACAACAACAACAGAGATCCTATACCCAAACATCAACTCCTTCTCCTACGCAGTATTCAAGGCCTTTTACTCCTCCCATGCAGCAACCACGCTATGGGCCGCCTTCTCCAATGCATCCATTGAATCATGCGGTGGATATGCCCATGCCTTTTCAGGGTGAGTATAGCGATTGTGTGAGCGTTTGTAACAAGCGAGTAGTGAGGGAGGGAATCAGTTGGAGTGCGCAGACGCGTTATGTCTTGACATTGGGAAACTCGCGGATGGGATACGCAGACGCGTTTTTCAAATTATGTGCGGTGGACGGTTACGCTTTCGTATTGGGAAGAGAGCGCCTCACTTTTGCCAATCTCGCCTTTGTATGCAAAAAGTGCTAACCCTACTCTGGTAGGCCCCCCACCGGGCGGATACTCTGCTCCTTCGGTCAACAACGCCTACGCAAGCCGCAAGCGCACTGTCCGCAAAATCCCCTTGACACCTCAAGGAAACCTTGTCATTGACATACCCGTCCCCGACCGCGTACTCTCAAACGCAAAACTCCGCACGGGGGAAGAATTCACTCATATGCGCTACACAGCGGTCACGTGTCCCGCAGACGACTTTACAACCCGCGGGTACTCGCTCCGTCAACAAGAGTATAACCGCCACACGGAAATCTTTATCGTCGTCACAATGTACAATGAAGACGACTTTTTGTTTTGCAAATCCATGACGGCCATCATGAAAAACATTGCTCATCTGTGTACGCGCTCTCGCTCCAAAACATGGGGAAACGATGGCTGGAAGAAAGTCGTTGTGTGTATCGTCTCGGATGGACGTACCAAAGTGAATCCTCGGGTTTTGGATGTCTTGGGTTTGATGGGCGTCTTTCAGGATGGGATCATGAAAGATCATGTCAATGAGAAACCCGTGACTGCCCACTTGTTTGAATACACAACGCAGGTGGCCGTTGATACAGAGTTGAAATTGAAGGGTCCTGAAAAGGGATTTGTTCCCGTGCAGATTCTGTTTTGTCTCAAGGAAAAGAATGCCAAAAAGGTGAGTTTGCGTTAGGATCCGGCTTAGGGTTGGTAGGGTTTGGGTAGGATCGTTAGGTTCAGGTTCGCCTTCGGGATAGGGCTCAGTTTAGGATTTTCGCGGTCTGGGTTAGGATCTTTACGGTTCGCATTCGCGTGCGGTTTAAGGCTTGTGTTCGTCTTCGTGTTCGCGTTCTCGTTCGCGTCGTGTTCAGCTTAAGGTGTTGGTGTTCGCGTTCGGGTTTGGCGTGGAGCCATGCCTCGCCTTCGCTCATTATGGACCTGGAGAGCAAAATTGAGCTATGGCGAATGGATGGCACACGAGGAGGGATCGCACTGTTATTGTCGTTGTGGGTGGGAGGTTGCCACTGTGCAACTCACTGCTGTTCGTTGCACAGACTCACTAACGTGTGTTTGCATATCGTTCCCTAGATCAACTCACACCGTTGGTTCTTTAATGCGTTTGGCCCGCTTCTCCGCCCCAATGTCTGCATGCTCATTGACGTGGGTACCAAGCCCCAAGACACGGCCCTCTACCACTTGTGGAAAGCCTTTGACCGTGACCCCTCCATCGGAGGTGCTTGTGGAGAAATCTATGCCGAACTTGGCACAGGCTGCAGCAAGCTTATCAACCCCCTCGTCGCCGCACAAAATTTCGAATACAAAATGTCCAATATTCTGGACAAGCCCCTTGAATCTGTCTTTGGTTACATTTCGGTTCTTCCTGGTGCCTTTTCTGCGTATCGCTATGTCGCATTGCAAGGCAAACCCTTGTCGCAGTACTTTAAAGGCGAGACCATGCATGGCGGTGCCGACATTTTTGCTGCAAACATGTACCTCGCCGAAGACCGTATCCTCTGTTTTGAACTCGTCACGAAACGGAGTCAAGCTTGGTTACTCAAATATGTGAAATCCGCCAAAGCCGAAACAGACGTCCCGGACTCTGTGCCTGAATTTATTTCGCAACGTCGGCGGTGGTTGAATGGATCGTTTTTTGCCGGTGTGCATGCCTTGACGCATTGGTACTACCTTTGGAGGAGTGGACATGGGATTTTCCGGAAATTGTTGTTGATGCTCGAGTTTTCGTACAATTTCATCATGTTGATTTTCAATTGGTTTGGACTGGTGAGTTGCCTCAGCCTTTAGCTTTTGCTTATCCAGTGTTGGTTATTAATGGTTCGCGCCTTTTATAGTCCTTTTTCTATCTTACCTTTTACTTTTTGGCCAACGCCCGCATCCCTGGCAGCCCCGGCACCGATGGCCAGTCTGACCCGTTTGACCCCTACGGCTTTTACGTCTTTCAAGTCCTCCGCCAAGTCTATCTCATGGCCCTCATCATCTGCTTCATTTCTTCCATGGGAAATCGCCCGCAAGGTTCCAAATACATTTACATCTCCTGCATGTTCCTCTTTGCGATCATTATGGGCATCATGCTCTTTTATTGTGGATGGAACGTGTACCTCACGATTCCTAAATCGAGTCAAGAGTGGAGTAACCTGGGTACGATTATTCAGCAGCGGCCTGCGTTGCGGGATATTGTCATTTCTTTGGCGAGTACCTACGGACTCTATGTCATATCGTCGTTGCTGTATATGGAGCCCTGGCATATGATTACGAGTTTTATTCAGTACTTGTTTTTGATGCCGAGCTTTTTGAATATTTTGATGATTTACGCATGTAAGTTTTTTTCGTTGGCGTTTTGTTTCTCCCTCGCTCTCGTCTTGAGTCCTTGTTTCTAAAACTCTTGATCTATAGTCTCCAACCTCCACGACGTCTCATGGGGAACAAAAGGTGACAACGGAAACGCAACCGATCTAGGCCAAGTAACCTCCTCAAAAACCAAAGACGGCACGCAAATCGTCTCTGTGGAAATTCCAACAGACCGAACAGACATCAACGCCAATTACGACAAATTCCTCGCATCCCTCCGTCAGCCCCGACCAACCGAATCCACCAAACGGGACGCCAAAACCAAACAAGAAGATTATTTCCGACAATTCCGTACCCGGGTTTTACTTTGGTGGATGTTTACGAATGCGGCTGTTGTTGTTGTGCTTACCAATGATGCGTTGCGGGATTCAATGTTTACAAAATTGGGGGTTGATGGGAATGGGGGGCAGTTCAATCCCTTCTTGAAGGTGAGTTTGGCTTTCATGTCTTGCCTTCATGTTTTCTTTTTTTTTTCTAACTTTTTATCTTTAGTTTACGTTTTACTCCGTACTCGGTATCTCAGCCATTCGATTCGTCGGATGTGTCGCATACCTAATCCAACGCATGATCTGTGGATAAAACTCGATCCTTTCTCTCTCTGTGTGTTTTGTTGTTTTTGTATCTTTTTTTTTGCGCGTAGAGCGGTTTTAGGCTATTTCAATAGGGTGCAATTGTCTATGGGTGTGGGGCGGGTCCCCTCCATCTTATTGATTGTGGGGTTGGGTGTGTGGGTGGGATACAGTATATAGAAAGTGGATATAGATGTGGTTTGTACTATTTTTTTTTTTTTTGTGTGTTTCGTTTTTTGCATATGTTTAGGTACTTTTTTGTTTTTGAATCCGTGTCCCGTTATTTGCTTTTTGTTGGTTTTTTTTGAAGGTTGGGATGGATGTGAACTCCCCTGCATGACCATGTTGACAACACGTCCATTCAAAGTCGTACCAAGCTCGTTTATGATACTCGCATCTCACTATACATCAAAACAATCTCCAAAAAAACCGTGCACCTGATGTGCATGAGACTCGGCGCACACAAGCTGCTTACTTTTGAAGCCTTGATTCATTCTATCGATCCGCCGAGTCGCACGTACGCTATCTTCAGGACTCGAAATTCATTAAGGAGAAACGGACACATCTGTCAAACACCTGCCCTCTTGGCTACAATCTTCCCACCCCCAACCAAGGGCCGTGATGCCTTTCGTCATCCACCAAGGCAAGCGATGCTGGATGCATTCACTTTCCCTATCCGCGAGAATGATGCCATTTTGGTTACTATACAAGTGGCTGGAGCACGACTATCCAACTGGTGGTACATTCAATACAACAAAACCAGAGCGGTTGCCTGATCTTGCGCAGGACGCATTGCTTGTGCGGTTCCCCGCATTCTTGAGGCCTTATTCAAGATTCCCTTATTATCTTTTGTGGATGTCATGGTTGGAGAACTTTGGAAGGTTCGGAAAAAACATTTATGTAAACATCAGATTCCTCAGAGATTGTGCCGAAAAGTCTGCCAAAAAGTACGACCAGAGTGGGGTACAGCAACGTTACAGAATCTTCACATTTGGGCCCCCAAGTAATCATCGCATCAAGACGTTCTTAGCATATTTCGTGCAACCCATATGGAATCTGGGCCATCGCCTGATCAGAAAGAATCAGTACCGCCACCTTCAAATCAGTTGCAGTGATGCAGTAGTCTTTAGCATAGGAATTTAGCCAAGAATCCTGTATATACAACTCGAGTCGAAGTTTTTATCGATCAGACAGGGCAGAAACAGAGCAGTGGTTTGAATTTGATGTATTTAAATGACGAATATGTGGTATTCCACCCCTTTGCTGCGTGCCGATGACAAAATCCGGGTGTTCCAAGCAGTTTCTTCTATTGCGGTTGTTGTGGTTGCATTCTTTAACTCGCCATTTTATAGCTGTAAAGAATGTATTCAACAGAGCAAGTCGCGGCAGAAGCCATAGCGACACTAAATCCCCACAACTAGCTTCTCAACTCTAACCCTAGGTTTACAGGAACCAAACAGAGTACGTCAACCGCTTGATCACCCGCACGGAAGCCTCTAAATCCTGCTCGGTTCACCTTAACCGAATCCCTTGCCTCTCGCCCACTTTATCGCTACCGAAACCCCAAAAGAGGATTCAAAGACTGCATTTCCCAGCACGGCAACCCAATCTACCTGCTCGGGAACATCCATAATCAGTCTTAAAATCCGTTACACTAGGTTGGAGACCAGTCAAACTGAACTCTGGTGAAAACTCTGAATTTCTGGTCAAAAGACCAGTAATGTCAATAGTCTCACGAAGCTTTGTCAAAAGACTTTGTTTGGAGCTCAAAAAGATTGAACTCTGGTGAAAAATTTGACCTTCTGGTCAATATGCCAGTAAAGTCTTTAGTTTTTCAACTCTTTAGTTAAAAATCTGAATAACTCAAAAGTCGATGTGAACCTTTGAGTTTCTTAACCAAAAGACCAGTGTAGTTCTCAAATATGAACATTTCTGGTCAAAAGACTAGAAAACCTCTTAGTTTCAAAACTCTCTAGTCAAAAGACTAATAAATCCCACAGTTGGTGCGCTGTTTCCTTAGCAAAACTAAGGGACAACAGCAAATATTCAAATGTCAAAATCACTTGGTAAGTTCTTAATAATCCTTTGGATTGTGTGTCAAAGTTTTGTATTTTGCACCGGTGAAGACTTGTCCCCACCCATGATAGGAAACATGGGATTTTCGCACCCCAGTAACTGTGGCAATCCAAATGTCTCTTTCACAGGTGTTTGGAACATGACCACCAAAATTCACAGAACAATAGTTTTGCTACATAGACAGTAGTTCTGCTATCTCCAATCAATTTGCGCCAACAAACTAGCTAAACTAACCAAGACAATGACCTTCCCCCATGATTTTACATCAAGAGACTAGCTAAACTAACTAAAACCATAGTTTCTTGTTCTTTGTTATACAGATGTGTCTGTTTCTCCTTAATGAATTTCGAGTCCTGAAGATAGCGTAGGTGCGACTCTTATATGTGAATCGCCATGCATGCACTCTGTGCAATTCTCTCATGTCCCGGTTTCACACTTGTACGCTGCATACATTCCTTATTCCCTTGCATCCGGTGTCCGGCTTCCATCAAGCTTAGATCCATAGAACATACAAGAAAACGATGCACGAATCGACAGACAGATATATTCAACAAGACCCCAACGTATGCCTAGAAGTATACAAAAAGTAAAGCACTATGTACACACATAATCGATCACAGGGCTTTGAAAGAGTTGGAACTTTCCGTTGTCAAGGTAAACATGATGGAAGAACCCGCTGGCACAAAGGCAGAAACAAAGGTAGAGGAAAAAATTCGTGTAGAAAAGTCTGCTAAACTGAAGAAGAAAAGAAGAGATCAAAAGCGAAAGCGAAAGCCAAGTCCAGAACGCGGAACACTGGGTGGTCTGGTACGGACATTGCTGTAGGACTGGGTATGGCGTCAAGAAACACAATCATTTGTGGAAATAATCTTGTCAACGTATACTTTCTAGCACGTCTGTCAAGTCTGTGATATGTTTGAAAGGTAATCCACGTGCCCACGCGTATACGACCTCCACCAGTCCAAATTTCAGACCCGCCATCACATCTTCCAAGCACACATCTAGTCCGCAATTATGTTGCACTTTTGCGACTCGGGTGCCAATTTCAATGATGGCTTCGTTTTTGGTAAGTCGATACGTGTAAAACTAACAGCTCTCTGTACTGCATTATTATTGATAGATTTGTTGAGGGACACGCTTTGGCACATTTTCACACGACGAAACATCCATGTGCGACTGACTTGGACTCTACGGGATGCTATTGGTAGAAACATCTGATATCCCAAACGTTGGTCCGGGCAAGGCCTTTTGCAACTCGACTAATTGCTGTTGCAAAAGTTGGGGATCAATTCCAGGAACGGGCCACTGCATCACACATCTTGGATCTCTTGGATGTACTTGTGAAGTTTTCGCATGCTTACTGGCTTCATGGTGTTGACAGTGATTTGAGTACTCTGCAACCTTGCGTATGAGAATCGAAATGAGGTTACCTTTGTCAAAAACAGATCCGCACCAGCCGCCAAAGCAGCCAGACTATGACACCCGCCTCTGCGACCTAAAAATCCTCATTCAATCCCTCCCCCTCCCAAACTACACCACCCTCGAATACTCATTCTCTGGGTTATTTAATAACTGAACGTTTAGCAGAGGGGGCGCCTGTATAGCAGAGGGGGCCTGTATAGCGGAGGGGGAGCCTGTATAGCAGAGGGGGCGCCTGTATAGCAGAGGGGGCGCCTGTATAGCAGAGGGGGCGCCTGTATAGCAGAGGGGGCGCCTGTATAGCAAAGTGGTTAATGCGTCAGTCTTGTAAACTGAAGGTCCCAGGTTCGAATCCTGGTGCGGGCACTACGTTATTGACATGGAGATTTTTTTGTTTTGCCCGTTGCACAAGTCTGCAGCACATAGAGCGGCACACCATTCTCCATCACTCACTCTTCGTCCATCGCGAATCTGTTGCAAAATGTCCGACGATAGTTGAAGAGCCCACCGCACTGTGGTTCGCTCAAGGTCGCAGCTGTCAATTTTATCTGGAGGCAGAGCGGGTGAGCGAGGAGAATAGGATGGCGTGTAGTAATTGGAATCTGTCGAGACAGAATCCATTACTATTGGCGGCGAGTCACACATGGGGGAGCAGCTGTAAACCAAGGGTAAAAATAATGGAAATGATGCAAACGCCAGCACGAACGATTGGTTGAATTTCTTCACTTTGACATTCAGAGCACTGGGCAGAAAGCACATTGCGCATTGCCGCAATTCTCTCATGTCCTGGTTTCCTACTTGTACGCTGGAAACATTCCTCATTCGTGGCATCTCCTGTCTCACTTCCACCAAGCTTAGATCCATACAAATAAACGATTCACGAATCGACAGACAGATATATTCAACCAAGGCCCCAACGTATGCCTAGAAGTATACAAAAAGTAAAGCACTACGTACACACAAAATCGGCAACCGGAAGGAAAAAAAAACAATGTCCCGAAAAATACAGGGTCATATGTAACATCCTACGCAAATGGGAATAGGAAAGCAAGGTCGGGGTCAAGTCTTGTCGTTGTCGGCTTTCGTATCTGGGTATTCTGGGGCCTGTCCCAAGAGAAATTACACCAATAGATACAGGTAATTTTTTTAACCCTTCCCAATCGTCATGGTTTGAATGCACCGTCTTTTACACTCCAGCGTGCAAACAACCGCGAACAAGCCTTATCATAAATACGATGATCTCCGCAACAGGAAATCACACATTGTAATGCTCGCCATGTCACACATTTAACAATATTGGTCCAACGGTGTGCTCTTGGGTTGAATGGGACTGTTCCTCTCGCAAGTCGGCGTGTTTAACTGTGCAACTGCTGCACGATGCCTCATTGTTTCAAAGGAATACCACGAAATGGCCTTCTTGGCCTTTCTTTGTTGCATTATCTCAATTTGCCAATACTATTGGCCGCGATTTCAACAACTCCGTGAATATGCGCTGGAGTGTAAAAGACCGGGCATTTAAACCAGGAGGATTGGGATGGGTCGCAACGCAAAAAAATTTCCATCTATATCGCACCAGGAGTTGAACCTGGGACCTTCAGCCCGGATAAAGATAACTACTACCAGCCCTAATACATGTGCGATAAACCATGCTCGTTGTTTTTGTCAGTATGTTAGCTAGTGAGGGTATATTCCTATAGGGAATGTATTAATGATAGAGAATAGGGTTAGGGTTAGGAGGACAGAGTTTTTGGTACTAGATGTACAGATGGTGGTGCAGATGACGAGCAGCCTGCCTAGTCTATTGGCAATAAAAAGCGTCACATGCAATACACCAGATTGCAGCAATCGTGACGAAAATCAGCCCGCATAAAGATAACTACTATCAGCCTTAATACATGCGCGATAAACCATGCTCGTTGTTTTCGTCAGTAGAACAGAGTTTTTGGTACTAAATCCTTTCTTCTTGTTTGGTTTCTTGAGAGTTGAGGGTACCGAAGAAGAGGTCAGCGGGAAGAGGGCTGGGAAACGCGTTTCTCGTAGGAGAGCAGCAAGCAAGCAAGCAAAGCAGTGAAAGGGGGGGGGGGGGGGGGCCGGGGGGGGGCGGTTTTTTTTTGTTTAAACTAAGCGAAATGAAAAATGATTGATGCGAAATGGCCGTTAGTGGACCCGGCTCTTTTGTTTATCTTCCTAATGACAATGTCATAAAAAATCTAGTTAATTGGTTGCAAGGCTCATGGTATATATTGACGTTTGTATTTACCTGCACGCTATGTAGAAACTGAGTGCGTCTATCAATAAATCTAGTTAATTCAATTGGCGGCAAGGTATGGTATATATTGACGTTTGTATTTACCTGCACGCTATGTAGAAACTGAGTGCGTCTACCAATAAATCTAGTTAATTGAATTGGTTGCAAGGGTATGGTATATATTGACGTTTGTACTTGTATTTACCAGCACACTAGTGTAGAGGTGACAGAAACTGGCACTAGCTACTACACCAGGGAATAAACCAGCGACAACTGGTTGCTAAGCTACTACTAGGCAATTATACACGCAATACGTAACGGTTGGTTCTAAGCGGATAATTGTCCACCACCACACGCGGTCCCTACTAGGCCTTGATCTGGAACTCTTGATGGCATTGAAGCCAGAGTCTTTGCAACATTGGGGAGACTCGCAAGCTGGAGGATGTTCAGTGACAAGGCTTGGAGACTAAAATAAATTCCATGTCAGCGACAGAATAACATGAAAAGAGATGATGCCATTGGTACATACCAACCAAGCTCAACTAATGTGGCAGCATAATAACAGCTTTGTTGGTTCCGAGGCTGCGCTGGTTCCAGTTGGTTGTAATCGGGTGGGCGAGGTCCTCGGCACCACCACATCTGCATTCTCATGATTCGACCGACAGTCGTGATGAGAAGAGTTGCACAGATGCTTGCGAGTCGAGGATGGGTAAAGAGGAAAGGGGAAAGAGACAGAAGGTCCCCTTTTATAGACCTTTGGCATGCGCCTCACCGCAGTTTAAAAAAAAAAACATTACATGCATGCCACACCGTTTTGAGCGATAGATGGGGTGCTGATTATTCGATATGATTAACCAGAATAATCCAGATAATAACGGGTCCTAGTGCCATTTCCATCACCAGCACACTATGTAGGAGGTCATCCTCAATCGGAAATGCTGCTGACTCATATTCAACGTAAGCTTTCTCACGTAATCAGGTCTAACGAACACTTGTTAAATCGTGAGATTTACGGTTTTCTATCTATTTTCCTCTGCGACTTGGAGGCGCCCTTTGCTGGCTTCTCTTTCGAAACTAGCCAGACAGCAAGGAGACCCTATCGGTGGAGGTGCTCCATGTTACGTCTTTGGATTTGGTGAGTTGGCGTGTTTGTGTGCATACTCTTTTTGGATCGATGGATATCAGCGCAGAAAATAAAAGTACGATACTTTTGGCGTCTCAATGACTAAAGGATGATATATCTCATCGAATTGAGACGTAGAATTAATCGTCAGTTATATGACCGTTCTCACATTTTGACATTTTATGGGTGCATATTGACCCCTTCAGAGCCATTCTTTCGCGCATCCAGGTTGGCAAAGAACAGATTTTCGCCAACATGTTCATCGACCGAGCTGCGCAGCTTGGGCTACTTCAGCATGACCCCGGTAAGTAAGATCTATTGTTCAAGATACTGGTAATTTACGCTCATCTATATGAACCTGACAGAATCAAGTATCCTCACTGGATTCCCATTGGGAGTTAAAAAGAAGCTTATCCATGAGGTCACACAATGCCTCCTACCCAACTCTCCCCTACTTCCGGATCCATCATCTCTCCTCACCTCTCCAGCGCACGTTCGATGGGCGATGGAAGTCATTGGACAGGGATTTGCTCTGCCGATTGAGGATGTGGGAATAATACATCAGACTATTGCCGTTTACTCTAATTGGTTGCTGGATCCGAGTACTCTGCCAAGTGCTATCCAGGAGCGGAAGGGCTCGGATGTAGAGCAAAAGTTTTGGCAGGTCGGTTATTCGCCCGATTTGCCAACACTTTTGGGAATTGCTAACGTTATGTACTATCCGATAGACAATCTTTCAACAATTCTCTCTCCTCTTCCAACCGCGTTCACGTACCGAGATGGCCTACAGCCCCTGGCTCCAAGACCGCTCAAAAAATAAACTTGACCCCGACGACACCGATCCCCTCACACTACACGTTGATTTGTGCCATGGAGTCCTCAAAATCCTTACATCAGCAGGACGCGAACTTGGCTCAGAGTTCTCCGAGGAGACCTGGATCGTGCTATTAAAAGTCATGATTGGAATTTCTGACTGTTTGTTGCGAGAGCCGATGGAGAAGGAAAAGAGTGCTGGAGATTCCCTTGCCAAAGGGGACAAGCATCAGTCGAATGTATATGAGGGCGAGGATGCGGGACCGAGGATGGCGGATGAGTTGTGTGAGCACTTGATTAGGGTGAGTAAGTGGCCATTTATCCGAGACTCTACGCAAAAGACCACGTTGTAATAGATATTTGACCTTTTTAAAGGTGCTTGTTGAGCTATGGCTGCGATCCAACCTCAAACCAGTCTACATGTGGGATCATCTAAAGGTTTGATTTTGGGGATCAAGGAGTAACATTTCTGGCTGTTACTTATTCGGACAATGGTGCAGAGATACTTTACTCTTTGGACCCATCGCGTGAAAGTGATCCGCCAATGGAGCGCCACAATATTTGCACTTACCCAAAGAGTCGCAGGGCTTTTGTACGGAACAAAAGAAGGAGCGGAAAATGTTCATATCTCCATGTAAGCCCATCTCTGCTAAAAGGCGAATGAGGATAGCAAGTTTTTGAGATGTTGATTCGCCGTGCAGCGACTCGTATAGCGTAACACTGGATTTACCACCAGATTTTGTTTATTATGCATGGCACCGTATGATATGTAAGGTGAACTGGGATTTGCGAAATATCAACCTGATTGCGGAGAGGTCTTAAATGTCGACCTTTTTTTTGTAGATCTGATCGGAAATCCAAATGCCCTGCGTGCGGCGAATTTTGAAGTGGCCATCAAGGTACTGTTGTTAGTTGCTTCTGATGTCGGCTGCTTTTTTTAACGCTTGTATGGTACAGGGAATCGCGAGAGTGGTACATGTATGGCACTCGATAGGCATCGATGCTGATCCTTTGGTGCGTATCCTACGCTAATTACTCGGTAAAAATATTGGCTCATGCATAGTATAGGATGGTACTGTTTCGACTATCCCTGACGGAAATACGCTCCTGCACATGTTGGGCGGATGGCTTTTTGAGGCCGCGCCCAAGATGGGACCCGAGTAAGTTTGCAAGCGGACAGCGATTTTGATATGAGTGCGATGATCTGACATCCCTTAAAGGTATGCAGAAGGGAAAGCTGAAGCACTGGGAATTCTGTGCCGGATATTCTGCCAACCGCAACGACGACGGAAATTTCTGAGGACGTATCTGGAGCGCTTTTACACTGCCCTCAAGGATGTATGTCGCAGTTTTGATTTAATCAGTCTCGACAAACTCTTCTTATCTATTGTATACAGGGCCTACGCAGCGACGCCCCATCGCTCACTGCCATTATGCTCAATACCGGAGAGCTATTCGTCCGCGACTTGGAAGGCGTTCGTCTTTTAGCCCCAGACTTTGTCATTGCGCTTCGCCGAATCTTGCCAACGCTGCCCCCAGTCTTTAACGCCAAAGTTGACCCAGAGGACCTACGACGCGCCGCGTATAGAGTCATGGGCTGCATACTGGGCCTTCCAAATCATTTTGACGAGGTGCCTGTCGGTACTGGATGGGAAATGTATGATCAATATAATAGGCATGCGGGCGGCGCTGAAGAAGTGGTTTTGTCCAAAATGGTACGCCCTTTTTTTTGCCGCGAAGAATATGCGTGAGCAAAAACGTATCCAGTTGTTCAACCCGTTCTGTTTTGACAGATTAAAGCAATGTACGCAAAGTCGGATGATGCTACTACTTCCTCTGGTGACGATATTTCGGAATCAACTTTTAGAACGGTGAGATTTTTGCACATTGTGACAAGGTTTATGCGTGACGGCTAACAGTCACCTTTCATTTAATTTACAAGCTGAAATCCCATATTTTGGAAGTCCTTCTCACCTCACTCATTGTCGAACATTCTCCAGTCAATGCTCGTTATGTCCTTCATTTATTGAATACATTTGTAGCGGAAGATGCGGCATTTTGTCCAGGACTTCCAGCATTAGCGGTCAAAACAATACAAGAAAAGGTACAAACAATTTCCCGTTTCTTTTCACTATGGCTTTTCTGATACATTCGTCCATCATCTCGTTTCAGCTTATCAGTGGCTGGCCACCTGATGTGATGAAAACTGCTTTTCAGGCGCTCAACCACTTTGCGGCGTTTTATAAATACATTCGCCGGGATAATAAGGTAGCCCTTCACTATGTGCAGGGACCTGTACAGAAACTACGGCTGACATTGTGCTACATTGTATGTGTAGAGCTGTCCAAGAGAGCTCGTGCTGACTCTTTGCAGATATATTGATACGAGCCTGCTGGAAGATAACCTCGTGGTAGGTATATCCTTTCTTCTTGGCTTATCCACTTTTTTCCTTTAATAAAAGTCAATCAATCCCATTGTTCCTATAGGCAGTTCAATCGCTGATTATCAGCGCGTACGACTGTATGATCCGCTGGGCAGTTGTCGGACAATGGATAGTGGATGACCGAGATTGCCACAATGCAGTGATTGCAACGCTGTGTCGCGGTATTGGTGTATTGGAGCGAGATGACGACTTTGCAGCAGTCAGCAATGGAACTAGCGCCCATGCGATATCGCATTCTCACGGTCTGTCCTCAAGCTCCACAGGAGGAAGCGTCAAAGATGCTGGCAACGGTTTGAGCAGTAGCGATAGGGAACGTGTTCCTACAGTCGCAAGTGTGCAATCAATTATCGCTAGTGTGAATGATAAGAAAAAAGCCCAGCGCCATTCCATGGCTGCGTCAAAACTGATTCCAAAACTGCGATCATCGACTGTTCCCATTTCGACAACACCACCCGTCAGCACGGGAACAAAGGATGGTGGACTTGGTCTTCCCACCTTTGCGAACTTGACCGCAGAAATGATGATCAAAAGTGCGGCTGAGATGGGTATGGCGCACATGTTGAACCAGTTGGGTAACTTTCCGCCATACGGAGAGGTCACAGGAGTTACGCGTATCAGCAGTATATGGAATGAGGAAGCTGAAGTTCGAAGGATTGTCGGTGTTCGTGACCGTTTAAAGGCAATGAGGACCACAAAATTGGACGTCGAACAGTTAATACCTGCTCCCCAAATCCAATCACCTGAGGATATCGGCGGCGATGTTGGAATCTCCGACTATAGGCGTTACATTCGGTACTATGCATACGATCGAAGAGTGATCATGGGTATCATTGAGACGCCGCATTGGGCGGTAGAGGACGACCTAACCACGGGGAATGGCCGCCCTCTATCAGAAAACAGAACTGGCAAGATCTTAACCCCAAGAATGACTTTGGTATTACGGGAGAGTACCGGTAAATACACATGGATGACCTCCCTCAAGTACACGGACGAGAGCAAAACAATTTCATCTCCTCATGCTAGTACGGAATCAGCTCTTGTTCTGCGTTCCACTTCCGAAATCACCGTATCTCCACAGCATCATGGGGTAAATCCCCAACTGGTTTTATCACCCACCACAACTGGACGTCATTTCACACCGGCTCCATACCCGTATACACCTCGCAACGCATCCGTCGTTGAGTTCCATTCTATTAACGACTCTAGTATACCGTCATTGGATGATATCATACCACTTGGAAGCGATAGTTCACGCTGTCATGGTGTTGTCAAGGCAATTACGGAAAAATGGACAAAGCAAGAACAGGAACGAGCAAAAGAGGTGCTCAAAAGGTGAGAACCAAACGAAAAGCATTTGCTGGGTTCATGGGCATCCAAGTCAAATTAACCCTTTAAATTTTTCTCAAAAGTGAATCTTACCGATGTCCGACTGCTGTAACCCCACCACGACCTGTCGATCTCACTGACCCCGACCTAGGGTAAAAAAATTCTTTCATTGTTATTTTTGTTTTGTTTTTCAGTACGTTAAAATCCCAATTTCGTGCCGCCCCCCAGTCCGCAATCCTTTCGTTTGTTTTTGGGTCAATTGGGATTTTTGACGCCGGAAAGTCAATCAAAGTTATGGCCGCTACAAATGTCGGATGCTCTGCTGAAAGATTTGCAAAAGATTGATGGGATGCCCGAGTAAGGACCGAAAACCCTGTGAACATTGTTTTCTGGAACATTTTCAACCGGTATACTCATTTTCTGGATTCTAGGCGCGATTGCATGAGCATGTGTGTATTATTTTGTCGGTCTGGGCATGAGTCGCTGGATGATATCCTTGGACACCGAACTGTTAGTCACGACTTTGATGAGTTTGTCCACTGTCTTGGATGGCCGGTATGTGTTAATTTTCCATCTACGGGCAATGCCACTGTCTCGGTTTTAAACGTTCACTCATATCTTTGAAAAGGTGGACTTGTCCTCTCACACTGGATATAAAGGGAACTTGGATAAGTCAATATGCGCTACTGCACCCTACTTTGCTAGCCGGCACGCAGAAGTCATTTTCCATTCACCGTACTATATCCGTGATGGCCACGTCTCTGGGCAGGACTTGGACGGGATATCCGATACCACTCCATCTACCAACTCCCGCGATGTCCAGTCTTCCATGGGAACGTCAGGTCACCGGCCATTCATAGATACAACCCGTCGTCCTACAAGTGGTCATTTCCCAAGCGGACATGAAGTAGAGTCCCCGACATTGTCGCAACGACCGTGGCCCAATGAGCCAAACAGGCCACGCGCATCCTTTTTTACCGACGTTGCTCACGAGGACCTTATTTACATAGTATGGGTTGAAGACATGCATCGATACACATCTATACCACGGAAGCTGAGTCGAACAGCGGCGCAACTGTTCATTTTCGTGCATCCGCTACCACATACTCCAGGGATGTACTTTATCCGAGTCGTCTCAAACAGTTTGAGTTTTGAGGACTTGATGGTAAGTGAGCACTAAAGAGAGGGTTACTCAAAAATCCTTATTAATGGTTTTTTTTCTTATTCCTTTTTGCAAATAGAATATAGGACCGCTATTAGATGGCATGGTCATCAGCCGGCATATACTTGGCATGTTGGTACGGACAACGGCAATAAGCGGCCACAAGTATTGTCGAACAATAAAGGGGACGTTCCGAAGACCGTGAGTTTGAAGCTGTTGCGATGCCTTCACTGGTGAAATCTACTGCATGCTGATCGTTTCTTCTATCTCATCGTTCGACAGCCCTCTGATACGACGGCACCATATTGAAGAAGTCTGTAATAGACATAAAACAAACATGTCCATTGGACGGTATGTGCTCTCAATGGTTCACATTTTGACCATCTCGTTTCTATAAGTCAATTCTAATCGGACGCCATTCACAGGTTTTATGCTGATTTATTTACATAATCACTTGGAGGGATGGGTATATTCTTTTGTAGGCTGGAAAACGTCCACTTTTGTGTAGAACGCTCTTCATTTGTTTATATATCGCACTTGTAAATGTATGGGGGATGAGAAAGATCTATACAGCAAACATCATCGTTCAGGTAGACCATTTGTTTAAACCATGATCGTGATTCGAACCAATTCTATTCAGCCACGTAAGCAAAGCTTGAACCCGAATTTCCCACGCTTCAGCTGTCAAAAACCCTTTGCAGTTCGTTTAAGCTATTTTGTTGCGTGTCAATCGTATATGAAATGGGGGGGAGACGGTACGTTGCCTTGTGGGAGTTGGTTTGCGTTTTGGCAGCTTTGTCTTTTTGTTTGTCGGAGGATATTGACGTAATGGCTTTTTTGAAAACCGTCCCTGAAACCTGTAGACGATCCAGCTCAGATTCATCCAGGTCGAGGACCGATACATCTTGGTCGAGTACAGATTCATCTCGGTCCAGGACCGATACATCCTGGTCGAGTACAGATTCATCTCGGTCCAGCACCGATACTTCCGACAGTGAAAGTAGCTCAGAGTACAGCTCTTCGTCTGATTCTCAAGGCTCAAGGAGACGTCCCGGAAGAGACTCCAAGAAGCTTGCGGGGATATACTTCCAGAACCGTTGCTGGATGGACAGTTACCCGAAAATAAAAACGACTAAGTGTGGAACATCTTCAAGTAATAGTCGCCGGAGCATGCATCCAGCCAATGACAGTCGTGAGCTACCTAGGCGTCAACCTGCACCGTAAGTATACAGTTCAGCGTAACCAACTAACTTGATCTTCCAACTTATTTTGCTCTTCTTATTTCGATTGCATTGCTTTCGACCAATTCTCATGACAGTTCTAAGCGCAGGGCTCTGTCTCGCGAACGTAGAGCACAAAAAAACCGTCGAAAGAAAGAGCGAAGAAGGACAGGGCTCAGGGAAGAGCTCAGGGATCGTCAGGAGCTTAAGGCACGGGCAAGTACTTACCGACCATCCTACCGACCATCCTACCGACCATCCGCCGAAACGATACGCTCAAAGAATGGTCGCGATTCGAGGAGGTCTTTGGATGAGGATAAGCAAGCGGTTCACCAAGTCAGCGTGACTGTCGGCAGTGGCTCTTCTGCCGACACAAAAGCTACGCAAGAAAGATCTTTGCCTTCGTCTATCAACGTCATTGCTGATTGTCGACCGTCCAAGATAATACAAAAGCTAAAACAAAAAGCCGACAGTGTCGCTCATACAGTTGAGTGTACTCGAGTAGCTCATCCTGTGGAGACTACTGGCCGAGAGCGTAGAACGCCTGAGCTCCCGAAACTTTTGACCCCGCCACTCCAATGCTCTCCTACAACCATGTCCCCCAAAAAATCGACGCTGATACAGCCTAAACATCGCAGCCCGTCGGGTGTCAGTGACTCAGATATGGGTACTTCATGGGGTCCTAGTCGTGTTGATAGCCCCTGGACGTGGCTCCCAGAATTCCCAGCTTGTACAACAAGCGTTGGAGATGCCATGCCAGTAGATTCCCTAGTCCTCGCTACCCCACTGAGAAATAGGACGACATCGTCGTCTTTGCCAGTGACGGCTGATTCAACGTCAAGTCACGATTTCAACATCTCAAGCGACGCTAAGGCTATGATACCAGAGGATTCTCCAATCATCGCTAGCCCGACGATGAAGATGGAGGAACCATCATCTATGGCAATGGAGATTGACCCGCCTTCGCCAAATGACTTTTCGAACATGTCACTGGACCATCTTCTCGAATTCACCAGCGTCGTGACAATTCAAAATGACGATATTCCAGTGCCACCACCAGAGATTGTAAACTTTTTAAGTAAGCTGGAGGATCTGATCATTGACGATGCCCGACGAGACGATCTCCTTGGCGTGCAAAAACGCTTTGCAGACAAACTCCAGGAAAAATCGGAGCTGCGCCACAGTCTCAGAGAAGAGCACAAAATGGCTGAGCGTGTGGTTAACGATGGAAAAAAGCAACTAGCAGATCGGCTTCAAAGCTTGGTCGCGAACATGTTCGAAGGAATGCCTAAGACTGCCGTAGCTTATTCTAAGACTGACGCAGCTTATTCGCCCATAAGGGATGAAGTACAGGAAGATATCAAGGAGCTTCAGACGTTTTCCAGCCATGCTGACCGCCTGACCCAAAGGCTCGACCATTACGAGGACAAATCAAAGAATTGGATGGAGGAAGTGGATATGCAGAGAACTATGCAGTTTTGTGAATGGAAACAGACGGGCGGAGGCATGATCGAAGAGTTAAGGACACATGTCCATGCTCAATCCTCTCAGGTGGACGAATTGGAAACACGAATGGCTGGCCTAAAAGAAAAAATTCAAGGGCTTACTGCTGTCGCTGAGAACCTCGAACGGACCTACAACAATCTAGACTCACAAGTTCGGCTAAGCAGTGAAGCACTCTCATTGCGAGAAACGATCAATGAACTATCAGCTGAAGTTACAAGTCTATCAGAAATATTTGATCAATATCGATGGCAAGCAATGGTGAACAAACTAGGAAGAGATCGGGCCGCGGTAGTAAACCTGATGGAAGATCTCTCGCTGCTTCGCGATCAATTCTTATCTAGCAAAACCTTCCAGAACTTTGTTGTGCACGTATTCCGTAAAGAATTTATACGAGTGTACGGTAGAGTTTCCGAAACTCTGGCACAAGCCTTCATCAGCAGGCTCAGCGAAATTCACCAAAAAATTTTCATGGAAGCTACCAACGAAGTTACACAAGCAGGAAATTTATACGACGAGTTACGAGATAGGTTGGCTAAACTTAAAGTACAAAGTGACGAAGACGATGAGTTAGAAGTGGAACTTATGACTGGAATCTCTCCCTCGAAGCTACGGACACGTACTGCACCTCCCGCGGCTGAACCCTCTTGTGATGAGAAGCGTGATAGTCCGGCATCGATACAGGAAACATCGGATCCTTCTGTCCTCACCTTGCGTTCAGCAGATTCGGCAACACCTGCGATGGAGGAGCCACCAGTCTCACCTGTCTTGCCACCTGCATGGATTCGAAGCGGCATCCGAGATATAACGGCAAGAAGTGCACGAAAGCAATTGCAACACTTTTAAATAGTATGCGTGTTTGTTCCTTATGCTCAATTACGTGCGCTGATATGAAGCCGGACGTTTGCCTTCACCGGCTTCTGTATAAAAGACATGAGATCCCATGTTTATTCGTGTTACTATTCAAATCGTTCAGCGTAACATGGATTAATACAAGACTAAGAATGTCAAGCGAAGCGACAGTGGGTATCTTTCACGCCTTCCCCAACGGTTTCTTCTACCCAGCAGCAATCGCAAAAACCTCTACCTCATGACATGACTGTCTATTATCTTGAAGGCGGTCGTCCGAGTGCGCCATTGGATAGTGGACCAATTGTTGAAGTTCTACAGGGTATCGCGGCACAACCAGCATCTCACCCGCTCCCGCCAGGTGCTTCTTACTGGGGACCATTGTCCCCATTGACGCCGCCCGAACTCGTTTCAAAGTTCCCTGTGCGGGAGGTTCTACTCTGCCCGCATTAAATTGCACAAAATCTCTCAGACTGTCCCATTCTGGCGGATATGGTCTCTGGGTCCAATACACGGACTGTGCCCACTTCATCATGAAGGCCCAGTGGACGTTCCCGGCGTGCTGTGACATCTCGGCCCAGTCCCACAACCGCTCCGTCTCCTTCTGCAGTTCTTTGGCAGTATCTGATGGTGCCGTGTATCCCAACCTGGCGGCATCATCCGAGTGGCGGATGCGTAGAATGTTTGCAAGGGAGACCCAGTACCTATCAACACAGAGCCTGGCGAGAAAAGCGTGCGCATGCATTGCACCTTCATAAATGCTGCTCGAGGCGTGTGGACAGAGGAGGGTGATAGCAAATGTGTGGTTGATGTGCGTTGTTAATGCTTGAGCTTTGGCGTAGAATGGGTTGGATGTTGGTGTCGTTGCTTGTGTGACAGAGGGTGAGTAGGTATATGAGGAGGTGCTGGGTATAGGAGGTGTGCACCAGAGAACATTGTTTGGGTCCCGAGGGGAGAGGTTCGATGCCGATTGCGCAAACTGAAGGGTCGGCCGCATCCATCCAAGATTTCGTCCATCTAATGCCAACAGCCGATGGTCAACCCTCAACGAACATCTCTCAACACCTTTCACAACTTCTTGTTCAAACGTGGCGAATTCATCCGGTCGAATCCAGTATCGAAATCTCATTGCTTTGGCCATCCAAAGTTCCCCCTTTCTCAGCGCATCTTCCTCCGCGTCAGTAACCTCCATCCCACACCGCAACAACAGCATCCAAACCGTGGTCTTGCACATTTTGACATCTTCATCGAAATGAAACTTTGCTGCTGTGATTCCTGCGACGACAAACTTTTCCAACGTGCCGCTCTTTTGCATGAGCTTGGTGGAATGGTCAACCCTGGTTTCGAGATACAAGAGGGCGAGGATAAACGTCGTGATGACGGCTGTGAGACTAGATGTGCATGTGAGACCGTGGAAAAGTGTGTACAGAATGCGAGCGCGTGCAGCTCGGGAGTGAAAGAGGGTCTCCATAAACTGAGTTGTTCGTGTGATGGTGGTGTGGGTGGGTGGGTTTTGAGGCGAGGTTTCGAGGCGGAGGGTGTGGTGACATTTGTCGAGATGTTCGATACGGTAGAGGATGTAACCTACAAAACAATGAGACATGTGTCAACAACTATGGGTATCGACATGAAAGCATTGTCCAAGTTCACCACTACTGATACTCACCCAAGAACGATTCGCCAAGGTCCTTTTTACACCTCTGAACCAACAACTTCATGTCAAAACTCGACTCAAACTGCATCTCAAAGATGCTCGACTGGGCAGACATGGCAAAAATTTAACCATGAAAAAAAGGAAATATATGGCACTGCCAGTCTGTATCTCACTTCAAAAGTACCACCTTTTTGTAGCAAGCCCCCATAAAATTTCAAAACGAGTCAATCACAAAAAGGTTTTCCCGCCAACGAGAAACCCAAAAACCAACATATAATATATACAAGTATGAGGTCTCCCCCCTTTTGGTGGATTCAGGGCAAAAGCGAGTGGAGAAAAATGTCTCAACAACAACAACAAAACGAAATAATCAAAAAAAAAAGAGCGTCGGGGATATTTCTTGACATTCCCGCAAAGAAATGTTTCTTGACACCTTGTCTAGACAAGGTCTAGTTTCTGAAAACATTTACGCTCGATTTATCGAATGGAGTTTTGTAATGCTCCATCTATTGGCCATAGACTCTATTACAACAAAATACACTTTCACAACATGACCCCCAACTTCTAACACAAACATCAAGTAACAACAACACACGGACGAGTTCCACACTCGTATACCCTCAATGACATGACAAAAACAACAAAAAAACCGTCCAGCCCATCGAAATATTAAATCATTGACTGACCCTAACCCTCAGATTTCCATCATACTGGAAAAACACACAAAGAATACCACGATATACTGGGACTGTAACATACATGCCAACAAAACACCAGTAGAGATCTAAGTGCGACACACAGATACAAATCAAACCCCAATACATCATAGACACATAAAAAACCTTGAATACATATCTATCAATTGAATACTGAATATCCATACACACTTTAGACACACACTCAGCCAAAAAAAAAAAAAAAAAAAACAAAAAAAGGAAAAATAACAAATAACAAAAGATCCCTTTCAAACCTATTTCACACTATGGTCGGGAATTTACCGGAGTATTACATAATCGGAAGAGGAGAAATGCGAGATATGTGTGTTGTGTTGTGTTGAAAAGTGCGAGTGGCGAGTTGGTTGGTAAATATGACGTTTTTGCTTGTATGATAAAGGGTTATTGGGGGTTGAATGATATTGTTAATTGTTTTTTTTGCAGAACTGGGTATGGGTTAGGGGGTTTTGTTATTTGTGAAAGAAAATAAAGAAAGGATTGTCAAGGTTTGTTTTTTTGTGTGTAAAAGGGCTATATTATTTTTGTGGGTTTTTGATGACAACATGTTATTCGCAACAAGAAAGCATTTCATGTAGAAAACAAATACTAGAGCCTAGTAGACAGGTTACATGACAATGTTTATCAGGTAAGGACATAAGAGGCCACAATACGCCCAAACACACAACAAAACAGAAAGAGATACGCCTAAAGTTTCGCCTTGATACCACTCGACAATTCAATACGCTCCTCCCACGGTCCCTTTCTCCCCACCCAAACCAGTCCCCGCCCCACAAACCTCCCACTCAAAACATCCGCAACAAACCGGTCTAGCTCCGAATACGCCGCCCGCGTCTCGTTCAAAAAGGGGAACGCGACAAAAACGTGTGGCATGCCTGTGTAGAGTTGGATGGTTGCGTTTCGGGGAGGGAGGATGCGGGATAGGGCAATGGAATCTGAGGCTAGGCATTCAATAGAGCCAGATTGCTAAAAACAATATTTATGTTTTTTGGTTTAGAAAAAATGGTGGGTGCATGTGACAGGTACTTGAATTGACGGGGTTACGTACAATGAGTATCGGAGGTAAACCCTGTAAAATCTCTGGGTCAGCCCATAGGGGGCTCATGATGGGATCGTAAAGATCTCGACCGCCTGCATACATGATGGCGGGGTTGTACGGGTCTGTGGGAGGAACGGTCGTTTGAGGGGGTAAATAATCGAATTTGGCATCCGTCCAACTCGGACCGGATGTGTTAGACAAATCAAGCTAGCATTTCGAAAAATTGAACAAAAACCCAACATGGATGTAACAAAAAAAGGACATTGGTAAAAAACGTACCCAAGGTGAAAACATGGCCGCACCACCGGGAAGACTTTCCTTGGCACCAAACTGTTTTAACCAGACTAGCAACGACATGGTCAGACCTCCGCCTGCCGAGTCGCCCATTACTAGAATCTTGGATGGAGGGATATGGAGGTCATGCGTGAGATGGTGGTAGGCCATTACAGCGTCGTGGAGGGCAGCCGGGTACGCATATTCCGGCGCAAGACGGTAATCAATAGCTAACCCAAACCCAAATCAACAAGACATTTTAACCACAGTCATGACACCGCAGAAATACTCACCAAGAACACGACACCCCGTCACCCTCGAAATCCGACTAGTGGTCATACGATGCGTCCGAGGACTCAACATATAATAAGCACCACCATGCAAATACAAGACCACTCCTCCAGAATCTCTAGCACCAGATCCAATCCACTGAACCCACTCCCCCTCCAAAACCCCCTCCCAAGAAAGACATCCATCTAATTCAGTCCGAGTAGTCCATACAGAACGGTCCACAATGGTGCGATCAAGACTCCACGGACGGATATCAACGCGTTTAGGATCCAATTTCATTTGCGTCAAGAGGGTTTCGCCGCGTGTTCGGCTTGCAACGGCGCGGCGTACAAGAGTTTCCTTTGAGAGTGGGGACTGGGGGTCATGCCCTTTTGCTGCTTTTTTCATCGAGATTTCTGTTGCATTTCGGACGAGCTGTTGGATGAGGTGGAGTTTGAGCGGCCAGGTGGGGTAGGGTGGACCTATCGTCAGGTGTTTTAGAGTTGTCGAGGCGACGAGGGGGAGAATGGTGAGGAGGACTCGGAGGCGCTCGGTGCGGGTCGGCGGTGGGGACGCCGGGATGGTCGGTGCGTCGATGGGGGTTAGACTGTCTTCGACTTCAGTGTCGTTTGACATGTTTCGAGAGTATCTCGTTCGGGAGGCGTGTAGAATGATATAACGATGTTTGTAAAAACGAGAACGATGAAGGTACGCACTCTCACACCAAGTAAGCACCAAGCAAACACCGATCATTTACCCAGTGTTCCCTCACGTGTGCATATTATGTCATCAGCCTCCATCCGTCTCCCAACACACACGTGACTAAATGCACAAACCACAACGATGAAAATCATTGGAAATGACAGGACGAAGAGGACGTTTCTTACGCTCACCAAAAACCATATGCAATATACATATTCATGCCACTATCATCAACCAGCATTTCTTATGGTCATGACCACATAATGATAACAACCGCTCAAACCCAAAAGACAACAGAACCACAGGAATAATCGTTTGGAACCAAACACAAGCGTACTAAACCCCAACAATAACAAGGTGTTTAAATGGCACCGTGTGTAAATGCGCAAAAAAAAAACAGCAACAACAAACGATAATCAAGAAAATAATCAATGTAGAGTGTCAATGAAAAAATGCACGCAACAGAAAAAAACTTGTCCCAGATCGTCTCTCCCCCACACACTCAGTCAGAAAGACAAGATGCACCATCACACCCTCGCCTTCTTTTTCAATTCAACCGTCTTGGCACTCTGCTCTCCCAAACAAATACGGCACACCTCGTACGCCTTGCGATAAGCTTCCAAAGCCTCCCGCTTGTACCTCTTTTCCAAAACTTCTCCTCCTCGGTGCACCCGTCCATTCCCTTCCGCTCGGTTCGCAATCGCCAACGCAGAGAGAATTACACCCAGTTCGGCATACAGTTCGACAAACTCGTGACGAAGCGGCGCGACAATGTTACTCGATTCGTAAATGTCAATCACATGTTTGATGATGGGGAGGCAGGAGGCATAGTCGCCCAGAGTTTTGTAGGCGGTCAAGAGGGGAAGATGCGCGTTCACGAGGTGGACGTGGTAGGGGTGGAGGAGACGTCCTTTTTGGTACCTGTCGATAAAGAGACGGAAGTAGGTAATGGTAGCGCCGTGGTTCTTTGATTGAACGAATTGAAAGATTTGTTGGTAATCCCGTTGAACTTGGATACGAATCATTTCGACTTCAATGAGTTTCTTAACGTGTCCGCAATTGTCGCAGCGACATTCCTTTTTGAGAAGCTCTTCACGGGCTTTAGCGTCTTGTTCTGCAGCCTGTTTCTCTTCCTCAGTTTTCTCATCTCCCTGCTCACCGTCCTTGGATGCCAATGTTTTGCTGTCATCGACCACATCTTCCGATTTGGTGTCAACGGCCTTGGTATCTTGCTTCTCTTCCGCCTTGCTCCCATTCGCGGACGCACCATTCTCTACAGGGTGGGCATCCTTGGCAATTTCAGGAAACTCGGATTCAGCCAGGTACACCCCCACATGACACTTTTCGCACAGCACACCGTCCAAGAACCGATCGACAGACTTGCGCAATGGAACACGGCACCGGCTGCAGTCACACCGAATTTGTTTAGTGTTCAAGAGCTCCTGCTTCCGTGTCGAACGAGGCTGGAAAAGCTCAATGTGAGACACGAGGAGTTCCTCACCAGCCTTGATGGGCTTGATGGTGCGGTAGGTCAAGATGCCGCGATCAGCGGTGAAATGGCAGTTGGGAGCACAGCTGTGAAAAGGAAACCATCAGCCCCGTTCATACCTAGCAAAAATGAAATGCAAACACATACCTGTGCTTAAAGAACAGGGATCCCATGGGGAACAACCCAAATGCCGTGTCTGGCGTGTCGCGGAAAACAGTCACCACGGCGTGCACGACACGCGCTACAACCAACACGATAGCTCACCAGCAGTCTTTTCATCGTCATCACTCAAGCTATGCGCATTGGTATTGATACTAAAATTCCACACATGAGACCAATGCACGCAAAGGAGAACCGACGACTGGCAATGACTTACCGACAGGCCAGCTCAACCAGCTTTGGAGCAGACGTTGCCAACGACTCTGGCAAGATCTCTGACATGTCTTGCGCAGCGGCCGCAACGCATTTTACCCAATTCTTGTCAAACACCTGTGGATGCAGCGCAAGCTCATTGATGCACCACCATGGCGCAATCGGCGCATCGGTCACCTCTTCCTTGGCCATCTTGGCGCGACGCTCTTCAAGGACACGACGAACAATGAGGGATAGTGTCAAACGCAAGAGATCAACGTTAATGTCATGCTTGGTTGCAATGTCTGTGAGTTTCGGAACAATGGGGCATTCCAGGACGTGACGGGCCGCATCGGCCTTTTGGCATGCTAGATAAAATGACAAGAAAACATGAAACACACCATATCATCGAAAGGTCCAGTCCAAGGACTGAGCGGTAACAACATACCAGAAGAACAATACGTGGTCTTTGCACATGCAGGACACGACACACGCTGCTGCAACAACTGAGCCTTGAGCAACGAGCCCACACACCGATGACAAAACTCGCTGACACAAGGAGTGCTAACAACAAGCGTCGCAGCGCGTTCTTGGCAAATCACCGTCCCAGCAGACAGATCCTCCTTTGCAACCGCATGCCGACCCTTGGACTGCGAATGTTGGACAATGATGGGCCACTGTCCTTGTTCGACCAGTGGAGCGAATTGAGTGACATTGGTCTTGCGCGGCTTCTTTTTTTTGGTGTGCGTGGGTTTGAGAGTTGCGTCAGACACCACTGAGGGGGTTGCTTCCTTTTTTCCAACCATCTGGACAAGGAGAGGTGTGTTGAAAACAGAGGTACGAAGCGCGAAGCAGACAAGATGGATTGGTTTATTACCTTGAGTTACAAAACCAAACCCGACACAAGAACCAAAATTGCTCCTTTGAAAATAACCAAAAATCGTTTAAAGACCAACCCAATCTTAAATCCAACAAGTGCCGTTGATGGGTCAACTCTCAACAACACACACACACACACACGAAGCAAACGACAACAAGCGGACAAGCTTTTGTGGGGATTGTTTGCTATCAAGCCACCACACTTAATGCGTAGTTGCCATGACAACCGGCGTCAATCATCCGGGGAATTTTTTGTAGTTGAGTATAAATAGCAACTTGTTCTTCATTCTCCCCCCACACACACACGCTGACCCCCAGGGTTCTATGTAGGATCATTGTTTGAACGATCAATTGCAACTTTAGTTCTTTTGAGGATATGGCCATCATCATCACTCGACCTTCTGCGATAGCAACAGAATGTCACCTGCAACAAGAAAGGGGGGGATGGAATCGTTACCTGTCCCAAGTTGCCCCACTTGGCACACGTCCATTCCATCCTCATCTTTAAAAAGACCATTGGTGCACACCATTCGTTGGGTGTGCATTCAGTCCTGCAAATTGTAGACTGGATAACGGAGCAATGGGATATTCTAGTTCAAGACAAAAGACAGGACCTTGGATGCTACGTGCACTTGAATGGTTCTGTAAGAGAGTCTTGGGATATTTTTGGTTCTCGATTGTTTATGTGGAAACTTGGGAGTTATTCTCGTGACAATTCTGCATCGAGCTGATACAGCCAGATGTGCAGTCATTCGGGAGATGCACAATTCAGCATCAGCCGGCCCATAGGATATGCCCACAATGAATAACAATCATGATTATAAATCATAAAACAAAAACAATGTGGAATGAAACCATTCGAATGTACAAATGAGAGGCGCCCCCCGTGCGTGTTTTGGACTTTTAGTTATTGTGTGGAGGAGGAGGAGAGTTTTGATTCCGGCCATTTCCCAACTGGATTTCCATTGTTCTTTTATTCCAAGATTGTTTTGTACGGAACGACGAACAAGGACGATCAAGAGGAAAGAACTACGCATACACACACACAGTACGCACCAACACACACAAATCACACAACCCAAAAAAACAAACATCCAACTTGCCAATTCATTTAAATGCCGCTATAAAAACAAATGCCCATCCACTTGCTCCTCCTCTTCCTCCACTTGCTAATCCCGACAAGCTATACCGCAACCACAAACCAAACCTGGGTAGTCACATCCGATAACGCCGTATGGGGAATCGGCGGACGAGAAGGCAACATTTCTCCAAATTGGAGTCCGAGCCAATGGGGTGATGTCATTTTCTTTAACAAGTCGGTTGTGCGTGGGGAGGGGCGGAATGTGGTGGTTTTGAATCGGGAGGGGGTGTTTGCGCCGAAGCGGACGGCGCTTTGGGGGAGGGTTGGGCATACGGCTGATGCGGTTGGAGGTGGGAGGATTTTGGTTTTGTTTGGTAAGTGTTTTTTTTTTTTTTTTGTTATATGGTGTTACGGATATATGTGCGAGGTATAAGTGTGTGTGTTGACAGTGGGCATGCATGTGGGTTTGCGCATGTTATATGCAACGTGGGTCAAAAGGACATTGCACTCATTACAGCCTCGCGGGGTGGGACACTGAGATGATAACGTACAAGGAATGGGGCTATAACTAAAATGTTGGTTTGTCACCTTTAGGAAAATCCGGAAATGGTACATACGACCAATTGGATTACGTGGACCCCCAAACAGCCGTCCTCTTTCAAACGACCGAGAAACGCCTGCAATATATTCAAACGACGGGTGACATTCCTCCCGCACGAAGCCTGCACGTCTCCGCCTACGACGCAATAAACGACCGTGTATTCGTATACGGTGGCGAACTACAACAAAACGCCAGCGGAAATGCAAGACAAGATTGGCAGACGGCGCATACCGTTCACGTTCTATCCTGCCAGACATGGACATGGAGTAAAGTTGTACCGCCATTAGGATTAAGAACGCAAATGAGTACTCCCGTCGTGGGAGCCACTGCTGTCCTCATGAACGGATCCTTTATAGTGTGTTTTGGTAAACCGACGCCTAATCCATGTTTAGAGTTTCAAACCGGGAATTTAACGTGGGCGGTACCCATGAGCAATGGGTCGATACCCTCACCGCGTATTGGGGCATCGTTGACGCAATTGGGAACAAGTAACTTGGCGTACCTGTTTGGAGGATACGACGCCGCAAACCAAAAATATTTAGACGATTTATGGAGGTTGGAAATGTATGAGGGGCAATTGCAATGGGTTCCTCAACCGCATCCTGATAACCAGCCTGGACCTACACCACGAGCCTTCCACGCCGCAGTGGACCTCATGGGCCGATTAGGAATTTACGGAGGCCAGAGTTCGACGCCATTGGATCAGACGCTGTTTTTGTTTTCGCAGGGGGTTTGGAATGAGGGGACTGTGCAGCGGGTTGCGGCGGGACGACCTCAGGGACCGACGCTTCCGACGCCGGATACGGAGCAACCAAGTGTTCCTAGGACGCAATCGCGGTTACCGATGATTGTAGGGTTGACGGCGGGGGGTTTGTTGACGTTTATTGGGGCGGCTGTTGTTGTGCGGAGGCGGACGAGGGCGAGTGGTGGACAGAGAGGGTTGTTTTTGAGGGCTGTTTCAAATCGGATTCGGAATGCGGGTCAGAGTGGGAACGCCGGTGGAGATGTGAGTGGGGATGGGAGTGTGACTACGCGTGAGGAGGACGGGAGTGCGAATGCAAACATAAAGAATAGCAATTTGACGAGTACGAACAAGAATGCGAGTGTGCTGGAGAATGGGGAGGTCAAGAGCGGTCCACCCCCTCTGGCTCCCATTCCCTCCGGCCATCCTTTTTCACCCAATATCCCACCCAATTTCCCACCGACTGTCGCATCCAATGTCGTACCGAGCATCCCATCACCCGCACACGTCCCATCCCTCTTGTCTCTCATCCCCCTTCACATCTTACCCTCCACACCGACCTCCCACACCCGCTCACCCAGCACCCGCTCACCCAGCACCCGCCCTTCAAGCACCCGCTCATCAAGCCCACACTCGCCAAGCCCACGCTCGTCAAGGACATCCATGTACTCTATGCATACATTGGGAGCCTATGATGATGCGTTTGAAGCGTGGGCACGACGACAGTCTGGTGTCGAGTCCCATGATAATGTCGACCACGATAGTGTCGATCGACATCATGTCGACCGCATTCATGACGATGATGACCATGAGGATCACCATGTAGATATACCCACTTTTACAGACCACCCGGACACGGACCCAATAGTCATGACTAGAGGCTCTCCAAGTCGTCTTTCGTTTGAAACGGGTGGAACGGGGGGGACCTTGGGTGCCTATGATGATGCATTTGAGGCATGGGCGTTTGGGGATTAAAAACATTCTTTTTGTATATTGTTGAAATTTGTTTTTTTCTTTTTTTTGGGGATTGTGTATTTTTATAAAGGATTTTTTTTTTTTTTTTTCATGTGTGGGTGTTTTACTTTCTGAAATGATTGTTATCGTGTGTGTGTGTGTATGTGTGTTTTATTTTTTTTTGTTGGATAGATGGTGATTGTTGAGGGTTAAATAGTATCTATCAGGACATGTTTGTGAATTCACATTCAAAGCCTTTTGTGTGTGTGTGAGGTATGCAAAAGGCAATGAAACAAATGCTACTCGCTATATCCCTTCGAGATAAACATCTGCATATGCAAACTTTTGGGTTGAATTGTAGTAAGGTTTGGTAAATGTGTGTGTACACAGCTGTTTTGTGTGCGATGATCGTACATTGAATATACACAATATTTGAAAGTCAAACATTTCAATCAACTCTTTTTTGAACAAAAACGTTTCCATTCATGTACTCATATCCAAATAACACTCGTTCTTGCGTGGATAATCTGGATAATTCTTTGAAGGGATCGGCATGAAATCTATACCTATTCTTTAACAGTATTGCCCAACATGCCATGCAACACGTTACGAAAATGCTTGAACCCCTCAGCAGAAAACTAGTTGTCAATCTTGATAATCTCGATCCGCTACGATATCCATGCTACCTACAATATCTCCAATTCACGACATGCATGGGAAAATTCCAAAGGATATGAACAAGGATCCCCAAACCCACGATCACACCGCCAATTTTTTCAGCTACTGCTTTGTCAGTCACTTGTACGCTGCTTACATTCATTATTCGTAGCATCTATTGTCCCGCTTCCACCAAGCTTAGATCCATAGAACATGCAAAGTAGACGATTCACGAATCGACGGACAGATATATTCAACAATTTTTTCACGCACCGGTTTCTTACTTGTACGCTGCGTACATTCCTATTCGTGGCCGCTTCCATCAAGCATAGATCCATACAAAATAAACGAAACGGTCCACGAATCGACAGACAGATATATTCAACAAGGCCCGCCAACGTATGCCAAACACTATACAAAAAAGTAAAGCACTACGTACACACAAAATCGGTAACCGAAAGAGTACAAATGTCCCGAAAACAAAGGGTCATATGTATAATCCTAACGCAAAATGGGAATAGGAAAGCAAAGGTCGGGGGTCCAAATCTTGTTGTTGTTGTCGTCGTTGTCGTCGTCGTTCGGATCTGGGTATTCTGGGGCCTGTCCCAAGAAAAATTGCACCAATAGATACAGTGTATGGCGTTGGCGTGTAGCCAAGCGGATGTGAATGTGAGGCTGAGTGATAGTAGCAAAAAAGTAGCTGCATTTTGCGTGATGTTTGCAGTTCTTTTTACGCTGTTGATGTGATATGTTGCTTATGCAAGGATACAGATTTGCAAGTGGGACGGACCGGAAAGGGAATGGTAGCCCTTTTGTTGTCGGCAGGTTCAAGCGGGCTGAAGATATGAGGCGCAAACTGTCACAAACCCCAAACGGTTGCACCACGCTCGGCTACCACCGTTGTCGGATGCCATAAACTCGCACTGCGCCATTGCTCGTCTGGGACATATGCATCTGCATGACGAAGCTGGCCGTTTCGCCATGTTGTAGCGCGAGGTTGATTTCGTGCGTACCGTGGTCCGCTTGTGCGAGTTCGTCTCTCGCGATGATGGTGATGAGTGGCTTCAGGAATGGGAGCTTTTGTCGATGGGGAATATCCAGACATGTTGGTGCGTCGATGTCGTAGGATTGCCAAAGGCTGCATCGATCGTAATGGGTTTACGCCGGCAACGGGTATATGACTGTTTGCAAAGTGTGCGTAGCGCTGCCCTGTTTCTCCATTTAACCCGGTACTAGTCGGAACCACATACCCACTGTTCTGGGTATATGTCGGTATGCGATGGTCGACATTCATGTATCCAGAGTATGTGGCAGGTGAAGACGGGAATAACAACGGAGGCACAGCAGCAGCGGCCGGGGAGACAGAGACGGCAGAATCGGTAGGAGACGCTGCGCTGAGGGTTGTCGGTTTGTAGCGGACTTGGTTGAGGGCACATGAGAATGATTGAAGGTTCTGGAGCCAAAGAAAGTAAGAGTAATCTGACATGTGCAGGCGATAGTCTAGGGACTGTAGGAACTCCCGCTCCATAATCTATGGAAAAAATACAAAAGGTTGAGAACGGGTTATTCGAGCAAAGCAAAGATACGACATTGAGACCTACGTTGAGTTCTTCGACAGATAGGCCTGTGACTTGTGACCAAGCGGCATTCGTGAACCTATGGTCGTCCATGACCTGCGAAAAGCGGGGAATGTATCAGTCATTGTAAGGACTGGCAATGATTGACAGTAGCAGAGACTGCAGGTCTAGTAATGTACAACTGTACCTTGTTGGCCAACAACAACGCAGTTGCAAACAATCTGTATTCACTTCCCTCGGCCGCCTTCACTAATGGATTTGCCGCTCTGAGCCTCTTCAAAAACCACAAGGCCATCAACAACACGGGCGCCTCGACATTGGTCGCTTGTAGAATGTGCATAATGAACGACTGAAATGTCGGCAAGTCTCTATGTTCCATTTTCATCTCTGATTCGTTTCGTTCGCAGTTTGGGAGCCAAAGCACTCTGGTATACTGTGTCGCAAGGTCTGTCAGATATGACAATGTTGTGATATCCATGCTGCTATCGGTTGGCGACGGTAAAAGTAGAGGGGATACACAAGGAGGATGTGGACTGAAAGTGTTGTGACTGGGCTCGTGCTGTGGTAGGGCTGTGGATGCCGAGTGCTGCTGATAGGAAGGGGCTATGATGCTGTTTCCCTCAGGCTGGATCCAAGGTGGATAGGCGTAGTAAGAGAAACCGTTGGATGACAGAGGAGCGGCAGTGGATGCAAGGCGTACGTCGTTGTCGTTGGTGGTATAATACCGAGATGAGGATGGGATATCCATAACAGAAGGTATCGTTGACCGATCCAAGAAGATCATTGCCAAAAAGCAAAATGCTGGAAGCGGAACCAGCAAGCAACAACCCTTTTTTTACACAATCACAATGCGTTTAAAAAAAAGAAATGGGAGAAAACTGCGAAACAAAAGATGACAAACAAGAGTGTGACGTCCAACCAACAACCCAACATCGGACAGTTTCTCTTTGAGCCCTCCTCCTCCTCCTTCCCTTCCCTTGCAATGTCCACTTTTGCCCCCCCAAAAGACTCGAGTAATTTTCACAGGTACTAATGAAAAGCCCGAGCTCTGTCTTTTTCTTTTTTTTGATCACGTCCCCCCCATCATGTCCAT